CTTTACCCTTTAACTAAGGAAAATGAAGCTCTTGGAATAATCAAGAGACAAGACAGATGCATTAATAGAAATAGTTATCTAGTTAGAGATAGAGAGGCAGCTAGGTGGCACCACATATAGAATACTAGGCCTGGAGACCCCATATGGGGTCGAGACCCACAGTTTAAGAAGCATTGAAGGGGTGGCAAGCAGAAAAAGTTTAAGAAGCCCTGACAGGGATGGCTGAAATAAAACATGTTCACAATGAATTATGTACAGGTTCTGCCCAAAATATACGCAAAGTTATTTCAAGGGGAAATGTGGGAATCAGGAAAGGTCTCTTGAAAGAGGTGGCCCTTGAGTTGAGCCTTGAAGGGAGCTAGAGATTCCATGAGTTGAAAGTGAGGAAGGAGAGACTTCCAAGCATGGCAGAAAAGCATGGAAATGAGAGCATGTTATGTGGGAGGAATACCTAGAAGGCCAGTTTGACTGGACTGTGGAGTTCATGAAGAGAAGTAAGGTCCAAGAAAGCCAGAAAGGTAGGTTGGAGCTTGGTTGTAAAGGACTTTAAAGGCAAAACAGAGGATTTTGTGTTTTCTACTAAAGATAATAAGGAACCGCTAGAGTCTATTAGGTAGAGAGTGACATGGTCAGAGCCATGCTTTAGGAAAATCACTTTCACGGACGCACAGAGAATAAAATAGAGGAAGAAAGTTGAGGAAAGGAGGCCAATTAGGAGACTACTGCAATAGTCCAGGAGAGAGATGATAAGGAACTACACCAGGGAAACAGCCAGTTATGCTAGTGACAATGTTGGTAGAGAGAAGAGGAGGGAATTGAGATATGTGGATATTTAGAGATATATATCTGAATTATTTGAGGGTGTGTGTGACTACATTACTATATGTAATCCTGGGTTTGCCTATCTGAACATTGATACGTCTAATATATATCTCAGTATCCATCTATGTATGCTCTTCTGTATATTTCTGTCAGTCAGCCAGTCAACAATCATTTATTAAGTGCTTACTATGTGCTAGGCATGTGTTAAGCACTGCTTACTATGGGTCTTAGTGACAGACAGCACAGCTTAATGGATGCAACATTAGTCTTGGAATCTGGAAGACCTAGATTCAAGTTCTACATCTGATTCATACTAACTGTGTGATCATAGGAAAGTAACAACCTCTTAGTGCTCCAGACAGCTGTAACACTTGAAATTAAAATGACTTGCTGATCCCTATCAGCAGAAGGAATTTCCACAATAGAAATTCCCTATACAAATAAATCACAGGTAAGATCACAGATTTAGAGCTAGAAAGGACTTCAGAACTCAGTCCAATCTCCTCATTTTAAAGATGAGGAAACTGAAGCCCAGAGAGAAGTTCAGTGACTTCACCAAAGTCACACAGGCACTAAGGGGCAGAGCTGGGTTCTCTGACTACTAATCTACTTCTTTTCCCACTGCACCCAAGATACATCTCTCCACCTGTATGCCACTCCCTTGTTTATTATATAGACATATATACAAATTAAAATTAAAATTCTTATATTAAAATTTAAAATTATATATGTATATATCTCTAGTACTTAGCACAGTGCCTGCCACCTAGAAGGTACTTAATAAATCATTGTTGATTTGACTTGATTCAGTCCTTCGTGCCTTTTCATCTAAGCCTCTGGTGGTATTTCCTCTATTAATGCCAATAAGACCCCTTCCATCCATTCTCATCCTGTGTGTCCCTTTTCCAATTCCTCTGTTGGTCTGCATGCATGTGTCTACGTGTGTCTGTACATAGGGCTCTAGTACTTAATAGCTATGTGATGTGGGCAAATAAGTCACGTAACCTCTCTGCCAGTGCCTTTCTCCCTCTATAAAATGAGGAGGTTGGACTAAATGATCATTAAACTCTCTTCCAGATTTAAACCTTATGGGTGTTGTTGTATACCTCTGTATACATGGGTATATGTGTATCTGTGTGCCCTCTTGGCTTGGGGAAACCTCCCCATAGTACAACTTTCCCTTTGTCAGCAATCTTGAGGAAGTTAGGGGAAGACCTCTTGAGTCAATCATTAATAAATTATTCAGCCTGTTCTCATATCAGCTCAAAGTCTTGATCACTGAGAAATGAAGCGAATTTCTCTGGGTTGAACAAAAGTCTCCTGGGATCAGACCTAACCTTGACGGCAGTGGGTACTGCCCAGCAGCCCAGCTTGACTCCCACAGCAGCCCTGGAAGATCAGCTACCCAAAGGGGAACATGTGTTGTTGCGAAGATGGATACAATTCTCTTCTTTAGCCTGATTTTTGCAGCCTCTGATGCCAATCAGAAAGGTAAGGAGCCTTCTTATCTTATTCCCCACAGGATTCAACCTTACAGAGTTAGCCTATAAAATCTCCTTTCTTACTGCAGTGGAAACAGAGAATGCAAAGGACAAAATACCCCAAAGATTATCCATCCCCCTGCCTTTGGACAGGACTGTGCTAACCTGAACCAGACAGATAGGGGGAGTTTCTTCTGGGATAGAAGCTCTTTGGCAAATATAATATTATCATCTTCTTTGTTCTTGTCATGAATATGAGGATCATGTTAGATCTCACAATCCATTACTCATCATGCACTTGCTCTGTAACCCATATATTATTCTTTCCCAAACCCTTTTAATTCTAGTACCTTCCTTCTATTGATTATCTCCAATTTGTCCTTTCTATAGCTTGGTTGTTTGCATAGCTCAGCAAAGATGCATTGATACATCTACATGCGTGTGAACTATATGCATGTGAGAGTGTAAGCTCCTTGGGACCAGGGACTGTCTTTTTCCTTTACATTGTACCCTCAGTTCTTCAAACACTGCCTGGCACATAGAAGGCGATTAATATATGTTTACTAACTGATTAGCTGAATGACAGCATCACTGCTAGTTTTGGGGAACTGTTTATCTTCATGATTTTGAAAGCATTCTGAAAAAAGATCCTCCCCAAAGCACATTAGTCCAGCCTGAGGCTAAGTGGCAGCAGGTGTAGCCATTACAAATATAACAGATGAAGAAAACCCTCAATTCCTTTGTGAGTCATATATAGAGTCAACTGTTACGACCTGTGGGTGAGAGGACTTTCGTACAGGTATCCCGTTTAAAGTTATACCCAAGAAGCTAGCCAAAGTTTTCTTTATTAAGATAGGTCAGATAGGGGACAGAAGGGAAAGGAAACAAGATTAGAAAAAATAGGGGTGGGAGTATGAGGGACAGGCCTTCTTTCACCTCCAAACTCACAGAATGACAGAATTTCAGAGTGGAAAGGGATCTTTGCAATCAATCTGTACATGAAAAATAATTCCCACTTCAACATCCCCAATAAGGGGTCATTCAGCCTTTGCTTGAAGAACTTCGATGAGGGGTAACAGCTAACCCCATCTTTTAATTGCTGTATTTCTTAGAAAATTTTCCCTGGCATCAAGCCTAAAGGTGCTTCTTTGCCACTCCCATCCAGTTCTGCCCTCTGGCCACAAAGCGAACAAGTCTAACCCCTGTTCTAGGAAAAGGTTATCATGTTCCCCCTGAGTTTTCTCTTCTCCAGTTGAAATATTCCCATTCCTTCAAGCAATCTTCATGTGATCCAACTGCTCCTTTACTCTCTTCCCTCCTCTTCCTCCCCCCAGCATTTCCATTATACTGGATTAATTCATATTTGTTTATCTGTTGTGATGTAAGTGTCCATTCTTCTTTTTATAACTCTTTTTTCTTGGGTCTGTATTGGTCTCTCCAACTAGACTGAGTTCCTGGAGGGCAGAGACTTTTGGCCTAGAAAGCAGAAAACCCAGATCTATTTAATAGCCATATCTCCTTGAATAAGTCATGTAACCCAACTATAAAATGAGTACAATACCTGGCCTGCATACCTGTGCAGTTGATACTCTTCCTCTCTCTCCACCTCTAGCCGCATGAAAATAGGATCTACTAGCTTACTACTCCATCTGGGTCCCATCCTGGGGTGGATTACTCAGTGGAGTGGAAGTAGTGTTAGATTCCAAGTCAGAAGACCTGGGTTATAATCTGGGCTCCATCCCTTATGATCTGAGTGACCTTGGCTAATTCACTCATTCTGTGCCTTAGTCTCCTCATCTATAAAATGAGAAGTTTGGACAAGATGACTTCTAAGGTCCTCTTCCACTTCTAAATGTATGACCTCAAGTTTATTTGATTCAATGAAATGCAATTTGACTTCTATTAAATGGCTGTGTTATACAGATCACCATGTTAGACAAAGGGGAGATGCAGAACGCACTGAGGGCGCATCCCCAGTATCTAGCAGAGTAATAGGACAGACTCAGATAAGTGTGATCCAAAGTAATATAATCCCAGGATGAAAAGATCTCAGACCTAGGGCAGAAAAGGATCTCGGAAGCCATTTAATCCAACCAAAATGAGGTACAAAGAAATTAACTGACTTTTTAAGAGAATCAAATGAGATAGTATATAGCAGTGCCATGTAGACAGAAAGATAGATGCTCTAGACAGAGCAATAATGTATTAAGCACTGTGCTAATGCTATGCTGTGCTAAGTGTCAGAGATACAAATAGAAGCAAGCGAGACAGCTCCGACTTCCAAAAGCTTATATTCTAATAGAAGACAATACACAGAGGAGTCTTGATGTAGCTCTAATTGAAAATTGGTGGAGGGCTGAGGAGGGTGCCCCCATGATAGGGCATGGGGAGCGATAGCCAGAGAGTGGGCTGGAGGCCTGGACCCTGGCAAGATATGGCAAACATTCACCTATCCAACTCAGAGGAGTCCAAGTTTCCAGTGGGATGGAGATGGTCAGAACATAGGATAACCCCTTATTACTATTATTATTATTATTATCATTATTATTACAACCCTCAGAGCATCCAGGCATCCACTGAGTGCACCTTCAGTAAACACTGGTTTTCTTTTATCCACATTCCTCAGAACTCAAAGGCAGTAACTGTCAAGTACAGCAGCTTCCTGGACTATTCCCAACGGGCATGAGAAGCATCAAAGTGCTGCTGATGCAAGGTAAGGGGACTTACCTTGGAAATTCACTTCCCTTTTCTGGAGAACTTTTCCTTTAGAAGAGGGGCTTTTCCTTACCCGAATCCTGAAGATTAATTACGTGGAAGGTCTGCCTCTCCAAGGAGGGCCTCATCGAATGCTTTTTAAGCTAATTACATAGCCAGCGCAATCCTGGGGAGGATTGAAGCTCCACGCCTACGCCATGGGTCTCCCTGCCAGTCAGACGGGGGAGGCCAGAGCACCAACATGAAGAAGGCCCAGATACCAGACACACCTAGGGAGGGGAAGTGGGCAACATCAGAGAAGAGATGAACTTCCTCCCATGGAGAGTCTGGACTCAAGATTCATGACACGAAGAAGTGAGGGCTAAAAGGGTGCCTTGGGAATCATAAAAAACTGATTTCATAATTTAAAAAACAATTTGTTAAAAAAAAAAATTAGGAACATACTGAAACCTGCCTTGGTCCTCGGCCCCAAAGCCAAATATGAACCAGAGAAGAAAAAGGATACAATAGAAAGAGTGCTGACTTTGGGGACAGGGAGAACTCTAGTACAACTCTTCCTTCTGCCACTTATTTATTACCTGTGCAACTCTGGCCACGTGACCTCACTTCTGGGCCTCAGTTCCTTCATCTGCTAATTGAGGGGATTTGGACTAAACGGCCTTTAAGATCCCTCATAACTCTAAATCTATGATCCTGAAATCAAGTTCAGGAGTATGGAGAGGAAATAGTTAGCCCTTAATATTCAAATCATTATTTACTTGAATCTCACAGCTTCATCCCCATGAAGCCCTGGGCTGTCCACACCTTTGGAACCTCCTCACCCACCTGTTTTCTCCCCCCTACTCTGAGGCTGTACAACCTTGGCCAAATCACAAGGCCTTCCTAGGCCTTAACATCCCCACACTCATTATGGGGGAAGAAAGCTTTGACCGATAGGATAACAGAGAAATTGTTGCTAGCAAGACAGCAGAGCAGGAAGGGGAAGAAACCAGGGGCAACAACCACATCACACAAAATCACAACAAAGAAGTATTCACCTGCTTTACCAGGCAGAGTGCCAGTCCCAGTTATTAGCCTCTTCCTCCAGGGAACTGCCAGGGTGGCTGTCTATTAAAACATAAAGGAGGGAACATTAGGTCAAGAACTATGCTGTTCTGAGTTAGGTGCCGTGTGGGCATACATCTGCGTCTTTTAAAAAAGAGGGGAGCACGCTGAAGAGGGAAGGGAGCAAGGGGGCAATCCAGAAGGTGGTGAAGAGGGGAAGGGAAGGGTGGAGAAAGGCGAGGGGGGAGGAGGAAAGGGGAAGAGGAAATGGGAGGGGACGAGAAGGGGACAAAAGAAGGGAGTGGAAGAGAGCAAAGGAGGAGAGGGAGAAGGAGGAGTAGGGAAAAAGAGAAGGAAGGAGGAGTGGGAGAGGAAGGAGAGAAGAGGAGAAGAGAGGAGGGGAGGAGAGAAGGGAGGGGAGGGGAGGAGAGAGAAGGAAGAATGGGAAGGTAAAAGGAAAGAGGAAACAGGCAGAGTTTGCATTTGATTTGCAAGCTGCAGGTGAGGTTGGTGGTCCTTTGGAGGGATTTGATCCAGCCTTTAACATGGCCTCCCACTGCTCAGACTAAGAATCGGCTGTCTTCTCTCACCTTTGGCCACTCCCCCTTCCAGAAGCACAGGAAGATGCCAAAAAGGAAGCACCAGGCCAAAACCAGACAGTGGCCTCCCTGCAGTGCCTTGGCTCAGGGGGCAAAGTGACAATCAATCTCCAGGATTCAGAGGGAAGGTCAAAGGCCAGGTATACCTTGAAAAGCCTGAGTGTCATCAGTGCTCCACTCCAGGACAACCTCACGGGGCCACGCTGCTATTTATCTACAGCCCCCAAATTGTGGTTCCAGGCCGGACGCCATCTTACCGTCCAAGGTGAGACAAAGGGCCCATGGTTTGAAGGAGGTCTCTGAGTCACTGACTGGGATACAAAGAAAGGCAAAAACAGCCCCTGCCCTCAAGGACCTTACATTCTAACAGCGGAAGACCACACATAAAAGGGCCCTGAGGGGTTGGTCCCAAATTCTAGAGAGTCAGAAGCAGAGCCAGGGAAGGGAATTAAATATGGCCAGCCTGGGTAGTCTCCAAAGTGGAAGCCCTGAAAGGAGGTCACCAATGGGAGAAGAGGGTCAGCATGGCAGAGAGATATTAAGGGTGAGAAGGCCTCAGGTCCATGGTGAAAAGGCATGGTGGCAAAATCTGGGAGAATCAGAAGCATATTGACTATGTTGTGTCAGACATTGCTGGGCAGGACAATGGATACAGTGCCTGGCTTGGAGTCAGAAATATCTGAGTTCAAACACAGCCTCAGATACTTGCTAGTTGTATGACCCTCAGACACTTGCTAGCTTTGTGACTCTGGACAAGTCACTTAACCCCTATTTGCCTCAATTTCGTCATCTGTAAAATGAGGATAATAAGAGTACTTACCTCCCAGGATTGTTGTATGGAACAAATGAAATAATAATTGTAAAGTGTCTGGCATACAGTAGGTTCTATATAAATGTTAGCTATTGTTATTATGTCCCAAAAATGTATCTGATTCTGAAATAACCTCCATTTGTTTATATGAAACACTGTTGCTTCATATTATTCATAAGCCTTAGACTCTTCATTAAGTCTGTATGTGTGCACACATGTGTATTGTTTCCCTAATTAGACTGCAAGTTCTTAGAGGACAAGGACTCTCGGATTAGCAGTTAGTGGGCCTGGCAAGTTATTTTCCCTCTCTGGACCTCATTTTCCTCTTCCATAAAATGAAAGGGTTGTCCTGGTCTCCAAGTGTTCTTGCAATTCTATTCTAACATTTTGGAATTATGATTTGTAATATTAGCTTATTTTCAAGGTATAAATGCTTACAGTGAAAATTTAACAATCAGCTCACCAAAGAAGGTTGAACATCAAGTAGGCACCACAAACTAAGAAAAGCGAAATAGACAGACAAGGCCAAGTGAATGTCCTCTGTGAAGGGAGAAGAACCTGTAGACCAGAGGCAAGTGTAGATGCTTGTACTAATGGGGAATGTGAAAATGCTGGAAAAGGATCACATGCCTTCTTCTTCTGAGCCATGTCACACTGGCTGACTGAGCTGTCAATCAGCACTTGGGCAGCTATCAATGGCCTAACAAACCAATTAAAATCATCTCACCAGTTTGAAGATGTCACTCCCCTGCACAAGAAGCTTTCCCTGACTCCCTATGGCCTCCAGGATCAAACACAGGCTCCTTTGTTTAACATACGAAGCACAATCTGACTACAGCCAGCGACCCATTACTTGCCCTCAGCCCATTCTTCTCTCCACCCTTTGCACAACTCTTTGTGCACCAGACGCTCAGGGGGAAGCCAGAGGGCCCAGACTCAGCTGAAACCAGCCTGTGGGTCCCAGCCAGGGCTTTGGCTTACTTGCTGTTCTCCATACACGTCATTTGTACCTGTCTCAGTTCCTTTTTATAGACTCTCTCAATGCTCTCCTCCTTACTTCAGCCTCTTGAAGCCCTCTCACCTCAAGGGCCACCTTCTCCAAGAGGCTTTTCTTGGTCCCCCCAGAGATTAGCGTCATTAATCCCTCCTTCTCTCTAGTTAATCATTTTGTTTTTATATTGAATATATTTTGTACTTATTCCTTTGAAGGCAGAGACTGGTTTCATTTCTGTCATTTTATCCCTAGTACCCAGCACAGGGCTTGGCACACGACGAGTGTTTAATAAATCCTTGTTGAATTAAATCCAATGGAATACCTGGTTGGCCTAATGCTAAGCAGTGGCTCTGCCCACCAGAGAGGGAAAGATGGATTCAACCCAAGCATGTGTCTGATCTTGACCTGGAGAGGCAGGTACTTTGAGTCCCCCCTCCCCACCTCATAATTAGCTAGGGAGGGAAAGAGGAGGCAACTAGGTGGTGCGGTGGATACAGTGTTGGACCTGGAGTCACGAAGACCAGAGTTCAAATGTGGCCTCAGATACTTCCTAGCTGTGTGACCCTGGGCAAGTCACTTAACATCTGTCTGCCTCAATTTCCTCATCTGTAAAATAAGGATGTATAAGGTATCACCTATTTCTCAGGATTATTGAGGATCAAATGACATATTTGTAAAGTTCTTTGCTAACCTTTAAGCACTATAGAAATGTAATTATTTTTTGCTACTATGAGTAAGATTAGATATAATACCCTTGTACACACAGGCATGATGTAATGGAAGGAACTCTAGGTCTGCAGTGAGATGACTTAATTTCATAAGATCATAAATTTAGAGCTGAAAGGAATTCTAGAGGCCAGCAACTCCAACTTCCTTATTTTACAGATAGGGAGACTGAGGCATGGAGAGATTTGCTCAGTATCACACAGCTTATAAACGTCTGAGAGAGGATTCAAATTCAGTCTTTCTGACTCCAAATCCAGCACTCTATCTACTATGTCATCAAGCTGCCTCTGGTTCTGCCACTTATTTCCTGTGTGACCTTGGGCAAGGCTTTTACCTCTCTGGGGCCCAGTTTCTAAAACTTTCAGAGGGTTGGACTAAGCCTCTGAGATTCTTTTGAGCTCTAAATCTACAATTCCATGATCCTTAGGGTATAGTCCTTGTAGTGGGATCACTGCCTGGGTCAAAGGGTAAGAACAGTTTTATGACTCTCATTACATATTGCTAGATTGTAAAAAAGCCAAACCTCAATGAAGAGTGACAAATTTACAACTAGCAAATATGCTATTGCTAAATTAAATAGGACAGACAAGGCTGGGAATGGAAACTGAAGTGGGAACTTGTGTGCGTGTGTAAGAGAGAGAATGCCCGGGGAGCTGTGTGCCAGATTAAGGCAGTTAGTGGCTAAACATTAATTAAAGAATCTGGATTCTACAAGTGTAATTTTATGTTTTGAGGATTGGCTTTTCCCTTAGTTTCCTGGTAAACGCTCTATTTGAAACATTCAAACCCCATGGGGGCTGAAGTATGAAGGAAAGAGATTTTCCATGTTTAGGCCAAGAGAATTCGGTGGCTCAATGCACCCCAAGAGACCAGATGTTGTGGCAGGGGCTGCCCCATCTTGGAATCCTAGGAAGAGCCAGCAGAACTGGGCTGGGCAGAAACATGAGAACACTGAAGGGGAGAGTGAGACAACTGTGGTCAGGTTTGCACCAGGAAGGTAAAGCTCTTTAATCCACATAAGAGACATTAACTCCATTGTAAATCAATAAATTGGCACTTATTAATCAGACTTCTCTAAGTTTGGTTATCATGAATCAACTTCTTAGGGCCTGATCACCCCCAGGACAAACTAAATCAGCTCCAAAGTGGGAGGGAGGAGATGTGGGATCTCTTGCTCCTCAGGTTACATTAGACAATGGCCTCCCCCTCGCTGGCCTCATTTTCTTCTTCTTCGAGTCAGACTAGACCAGCGGTTCTCAAAGTGAGTCAAAGGACTCCTGAGGGTCCCCACAAAGGCAAAACTATCTGTTTAATAACAATAAGATGTTTTAGGTTCTATCATAGTAAATATTGATAGATCTAACCCACATAAACAAAAGCTCTTTTTTTTAAGAGTGTAAAAGGGGTCCCAAGACCTAAAAATTTGAGATGAGGGATTATGGATGGGATCATGGGATCAAAGGGTCACAGGATTTACAGCTGGAAGGGACTTTGGAGTTCATCTAGTGCAAAGCAGTTCTTGATCCTTCGAAGTCTTTTTAGCCCTAATACCCCATGAATAAAATGGAGATTCTGACCCCACAAGGCTGAGGATCCAGACCCGCAAGGGCAGAGGTAACCCTGACACACTTAAGCAACCCCATCAATCTTACTCCCCAATGATTAGGCAACCATTCAAATGAAACTAAGATTCAGTAACTGAATAATTATCTCCTAACTTAACTCTTTTGTCAATGGGGCTTTTGGTAAAGGGGAGGTTCTGAAAGTGGGGTTCATTTTCTAGTTTGGGTTGCATAATCCTGTGAAATAGATAGTACAAATTAATAATAATAATAATAATAATAATAATAGCATTTATTTGGTTCTTTAAGGTTTACAAAATGCTTTACAAATACTATCTCATTTGATCCTCACAACAACACCAGGAAATAAGTTCACCCTATCTTACAGATGAGGAAACCGAGGCTTAATTGTATTGAGTGACTTGCCTACTTGTCTGATATTTTGGAGTCTTTTACTTTTTATATTTCATTTTTATTTATATCTTGCTTCTATATAATAATAACAGCTAGAATTTTTATAGTGCTTTAAGTTTTGCAAAGTGCTGTACATTTGACCCTCACAACAATCCTGTGAGGTAGATCCTAATTTGTTGTTGTTTAGTCATTTTCAGTCATGTCTGACCCGTTGTGACCCCTTTCAGGGTTTTGGCAAAGATACTAGAGTGGTTCTCCAGCTCACTTTACAGATGAGGAATCTCAGGCCAACAGGGTTAAATGACTTGCCCAGGGTCACATCGTTAGTAAGTGTCTGAGGCTGAATTTAAGCCCAGGTCTTCCTGACTCCAGGCCCGGCCCTCTATCTACTGTGCCACCTAGCTGACTCAGGTTCTAATACTATCCCCATTTTACACACAAAGAAACTGAGGCTAAGTGAGGTGAAACCAATTGCTGAGCATTACACAGCCAGTAAGCATCTGAGACATTTGAATTCAGGTCTTCCTGACACCACAGCCAGCATCCCTATCTGCTATACTAACTAGCTGTCTTACATTATCTTCATTTCCAAATACATTTTAGTCCCTTACCCATCTCAGAGAGCTGTCCCTTAACAAAGATTTTAAAGCAAAGAGGGGAAAAAGCAGTTTAGCAAAACAAACCAACACCTCAACCATGTCGAATATGTAATATTCCACACCTATAACAGCCCACCTCTGGAAATCAGGAATGGAGGTATATTTTCCTCTCTTCTTCCAGGCTTCACATTTGATTGAAGGTTTTTACTCATAATTCATCTAAATAGGTAGTGTGTGTATTATTTTATTATTTTAATTAAAAGAAAGGAGGCAGTTGAGGCTTAGAGAGATTATTATTTTCCCCTGGCACACAGTAGGTGTTTAATAAATGTTTATTGAATTTAATAGAATAGTCAAATAGCTAGTGAGTGGCATATCTAGAATCCAACCCCAGGACTTCTGAATCCAGATACGGTATTTTTTCTTCTACACTAGCCTGACTTTGGAGAGTTTTAGCTAAAGAAAAATCAACAATGAATTTCCATCCATTCTCTCCAGGGAATAACGTGAGGGGTCCCTCACCGGTCACCTCCCACAAGAGATGACACCTGAGAAATCTGAATTGCAAATACTGACATGTGGATTTACACATAAGCTAAGCAGCACTAAAAATACACTGACTATTTGTCCCTACAAGCTGGACTTTGCAACAGTGACTCAGGCTGTGACGATGTATTCTGCTGCTTAATACCTGGGTGTCCCTGGGCAAGATATGCAACTTAGGTCTTCATCTGGAACATGAGGACAGTGGATGAGGTGCCCTCTAAGGTTCCATCTGACTTGAAATCTATGATCCCACAAAATACCACCAATTTCCAAGAGAACTAGAGTTCTTAGGAAGGGCCAGAAAAAAAAAGGAAACAAAAGATTTTCTTCTTCTTCTCAATGCCAGTGATGAATGAATGAAAAGATATTTTTGAAGTTACGGTGCACCAAGCACCGTGCTAAGTTACAAACAGAAAAAAGGAAACATTCCATGCTCTTAAGGTGCTCACATCCTCACATCCACCTACAGCCTGTCCCAAAAGTTTTAGTGCAGTTTTAAGCTTAAAACTGGCTATTCACTGACAGAATCATCACACTGAAATCACCCATTTTCTCTGCTTTTCCTTTGTAATCTCTGGATTATCAGGTCTATCTCTGTCAGCATAGTCTCTGTTCTGACGACAATCCAGTGTTCTAGAATAAATGGAAAACTCTTGAGGGTAACAGCACTTTTCTTCTGGAATCTTATGTATGGTGCCTGGCCCATCAAAGGAATCTGCCATTCTCCAGGCCTCCTGGTCCGGCATCTCTGGTGTTATTTTTTAGATTCAGGTTCTCAGCAGGATGAATTACTTTAGAAACAGAAAGCAGAGCTTAGGAACCTTTGCCAGAATGCTTTATAGTGGAGTGCAGTCACAAAGGCGGCTGAGTTTGGAGTTAGAGCATCTGGACTTAGGTTTTGGTTCTGTTCCTTCCCTGGGTGAACCTGGGAAGTCACTTAACCATTCTGGGCTTCATAGGATACTATGTTTTAGAGCTAGAAGGACCTTAGTCCCAGCTCCTTCTTTTACATATGAGGAATCAGAGGCCATGAGGTAAAACTGAGCACGTTCTAGCCCTGTTGGAAAGCAGAGGGCCTGGGGTGAGCTGAACCCTGAAGGTCTCCTCTGATTTAAAGAGCTTGCAATGCTGAATCACAGCTTCTCCCTCCCCCTACCAACACAGCCTGTGCTCTTCCAAGCCTTTTCCAGAGCATTCAGTTGAATTCAGTCCAGCAGAGGGGGCAGAAGCTTCAACATCTCCCAGATCCTTGAACTTCAGAGTACTTCATTTAAAAAAAAAAAACCAACATGCCACAGGGTAACTCCCAATAATGACATTATTACTATGACCCTGAGAGTGATGATACAAGCCAGATACCATTGTTCCCAGGTCTAATCTTCCTACAGTCATTGGCCTCCTTTGGCTATTTACTCAATATTCTTGTCCTCATTCACCCTGGTACTGCCTTCGGCCCATACCCTGTATCTGTGGGTCAGTGAGGTCATGGTACAGTTGACTGTGTGTATACCTGGGGTGTTACTGGTTGATGAGAAGAACAGAGTAGAACGCTCTCAAATGTTCTACTTCAATTGTTTCTCACTCTCTAGTGTTATTACCCAGTATCTCCAACTGTAAGTTCTACCCTGTGGTTGAGGCCTCATCGGAGAGACTGTCACCAACCACCACCATCACTACCACTGCAGAGGACAGTGAAGAGGAGAAGGCACCTATTACTGGTAATGGTTGTCTCTCTACAGCAAGGCAGAGCATGAAGCTGGTCCAAGGGGAAGAGAAATAAGGGGAATCCAGCAATAACATGGGCCTCTTTGGGAAAACTCTTTGAAAGTTTTCTGGAAACGTGATAAACACAAGGTTTATATTTAATGATAATTAGAAGAATAACTGACATTTATTTATCTACTTACTTACCTATCATCCACACCTGCCATTTCATGATTACAGGGAACTCTGGATATCGAAACATATTTCACCAATGTAAATCAGCAACTCATGGACAATTTGGCAGTTTTAGAAAGGTGCCCAGGGCACTGAGAGATTAAGTACAGCCAATATGTGTCAGAGGCAGGATTTGAACTCAGGTCTTCCTGACTCTAAGGCAGACTTGCTATACATGAGTACTTCAAACTTTAAAAATCACTTTCCATACATTATCTTATTTGAGCCACCCAACAACCTAGTAAGATGAATACTAGAATCACTACTTTATGGTTGATGAAACTGAGAATCGGAGAGGAGGCGATTTGCCCTGTAAAATAGTTTGTATCAGAAGTGAGATTCAAATCTAGCTCTCTCTTAGCTTTTTTTTCACACTTTTGCATTTGTATCCTCAGGGCCTAACATGTAGTAGGTACTTAGTACATTTTTTATCTGTTAATTGATTGACTCCATGACCACCCTCCTATCTACTATGCCACTTGGGAACATTAGCTTGCCTAAACATACACATACGTCCTGGGAACTCTGCACTCTGACATTACTGACAGCCAAAGACACTATCCTCAATGCAGGTGAAGTTGAGCTATAAGATGCAGCTTGGCATGGGGGAGAAAATGAAAAATACATTTATTAAGCACTTACTATATGCCAGGCACTTTGCAAATATTATCTCATTTTATCCTCACAATAATCCTAGTTACTATTATTATCCTCATTTTACAATTAAGGGAACTGAGGTAGACAGAAATTAAATCACTTCCCCAGGGTCACATAGCTAGTAAGTGTTTGAGGTTGGATTTGAACTCAAGTCTTATTGACTCTAGGCCCAAGCTCTGTCTATTCTACCACATAGCTGCATCTGAAATACTACACTTATACTCAGGAAGACCAAGGTTCGAATCCTATCTCTGACACTCCCTAGCTGTATATCCCATTGGCAAGATATCTCACCACTTTGAGCTTCAGTTTTCCCATCTATAAAATGACAGGGTTGGATTACATCCTCCTATCCCCTGCTAAGGTAGGCAACCTATCCTGTAGGTAATAAAGAGTGCCACTGGAGTTTATTTGGGGGGGGGGGATGTGGGAAGTTGACATGGTCAGACTTATGCTTTAGGAAGATCACTGAAAGCTGAGTGGAGGATGGGCTGGAGTAGGCAGAGACTTGAGGCAGGGAGACCAACCAGCAGATTATTGCTGTAGTCCAGGCATGAGGTTATGAGGGCCTGAACTGAGGTGCTAGTAATGTCAGGGGAGAGATGTTGCCAAGGCAGCATTGACAGGACTCAGCAATTGACTGGATATGTGGTGGGGTAAAAGGGGCAGTGAGAGTGAGGAATGGAGGATTTGAGACTGAATAAGATATTCAGCTTCTGAGGAAACTCAAGGAATCTGATTTTACCCCCAGTCTAAGCTAGGAGACCCCTTGAGTTTACAGAAAAGCGTACATAGGATCTGGAGCCAGAAAGATCTGGGTTGGGATATGGTCACTGAGATATAACTATAGATAGACATAGATAGATGAATGGATAGAGATAGAGATGGAAAGATAGACATAGATAGATGGATAAATGAATAGATATAGATAGATGAATAAATAGATGAATGGATATAGATGAAAAGATAGATATGGATGGATGGATGTAGAGATAAATATATATGTACATACATATATACATAGATATATACACAAATATGTACATACAAATATATACAAAAAGAGATATACACAAATATGTATATATATACAAATATATGTGTGTATATATGTATATGCGTGTTTATATATATGTACATATATATACACCAACTAGTTGCTTTGTATGTATGTGTGTGTGTGTGTGTGTAGATATATATATATATATATGTATATATGCACACACAGGCACATATAAATGTAGGCCTCAGTTTCCTCATGTTCTCTAAGGTCCCATCCAGTTCTAAATATATGAGCCTATGATTCTCTGATCTGTCTGACTCAGGCAAGTGACTCCCCTCTGGGTCCCAGCTTCCTCCTTTGCAAAATGAGTGGGTGAAAGGCAGCATGATATAGTAGAAGAACCTGAATCAGAGTCAGGAAGACTTGGGTTCAAATCCCACCCCTGACACACACTGGTTGTATGAACCTGGCAGGGATATGCTGGAACCAGCTGAACCTTAGAGAGTCTATTGTTAAATTTCCAGCGTGAACGTTTATTTACACCTTGGAAACCAGCTATACATCAGGGCTTGATTTCTCATTTTGTTGATTGTCTCTAGACCAAACAAAGTAATAGAGAAAATGCTAATAACTCAGATTAAACTTAAAAGTCTGGCCTGTGTACACTTTTTTTCAGAGAACCATTTCCCAGCACACTCCTGGACGCTGGGCAAGTGACCCCAACCCTCCAGATGCCCCCTTCCCCAACTCTCTAAGACTCCCAGCTGCAGAGCAAGCACTAACCTTCTTTGGGAAAGAAAGTTTGCTTATGTGGACCTTCCCTGTAGCAATAAAATCATATCCAAATCAAAAAGAAAAAAAAATGGTTCAACTCAATGGCCTTTAAGGTCCCTACTGTCTCTAAAATAAATGATCCTGTCATTGCCTTTTCTGGGTGACCTCACACAAGTCCCTCCCCTTTCTGGGTTCTAATTTCCTCCTTTGTAAAACAAGGAAATTAGACTGATTTTTAAAAATTTTTTTTATGAGTATTTATTATCTCTCTCTCCTACTGTCTCCCTCCCAATTGAACAATTAGAAAATGGAAGTTAAAACCCTCATGACAAATACATATAGTCCAGCAAAACAAATTCTCACATGGGCCATGTCCAAAAATACAGGATTCCTTCTGCTTCTTGTGTTCATCATCTCTCTGTCAGGAGGTAGATGCTGTTTTTCACCTTATAGATTGGAGTGGATTCCCAGGCAACTAAATGGGGTACTAGAAAGAGACTGGTGGACTTGGACTCAGGAAGACCCGAGTTCAAATGCCTCCTCAGACATATTACTAGGTGTTTGACCTTGGAAAAGTCACTTAACTTCCTCAGTCTTAGTTTCCCCATTTGTAAAATGAGGGTAATAAAAGCACCTTCCTCACAGGGTTATGGTGAGTATCTAATGATAACACATGTACAATACCTTGCAGATGTTAAATCTCTATATCAGTGCCAGCTACTGCTATTATTACTGGACAACCACCAAAGTCCTTTCCAATTATGATCACCCTTTGTCTTTCTTCTCCCCTTTCTTTGCCAACTCAGACACAGATGAGGACCTTCTTCTGAGGAAGAAATGGAGCGTTGTGGTCAAAAGCCTCATTGCTGTCATCCTGCTGAGCAGTGGACTAGCCATAACCGTGTTTGTCATTTTTGAAGTCCCCTGCCCGGTAAGCTTGCTTCTTATAATGGGACACTGGCCCACTGGGTCTAGGGAGACTGTCTCTTGCCCATCATCCTCCCACAACCCCAGTGACACTGCCCTGGAAAGACTGGGTCTCAAAGAATCCTTTTGCGAAGATAACACCTGTTGGTTCGTTTTCTTTGAGGGCGGAGAAGGGGCTGAGGCATTGATGGTAAAATTACCATCCTTATCTGAGCTTCTCTTCTGCCTTCAGCCTGCATGGCGTAGAGCAGGGAACTTGTGCCATTGTCAACAGTGGAGAAGACAGAAGGAAGATGGCATCGGTGGAGGGCCCCAGCCTGGGGCAAGTGGAGCCCCAATAATAGGAAAGCCTGAGAAGGAAAGTTGCATATTTTTCATAATGTTCCCAATTTGCATGACAAGGACACCTCATGGGCTAACAGTGTTTGGAGGGCTGTTACATGGAAGGAGGAGGGGTTGGGGGATGAGTCAGACCTCTCACCCCTGGTCCTAGGGGGCAGAACCAGGATCAGTGGGCAGAAATGGCAGAGACAGCTTGGAAAGAAAATGTCCCAACAATGAGAGCAGCCCAGAAGTGGAGTAGGCTGACCTTGGGGAGGTCTAGGTGACTCTGTTGGAGATGTCAGAGGGGAGATTCTTGGCCAACTACAGGTTGAACTCAGTGATCTTTGAGGTCCCTTCCAAAACTGAGATTCAGTGATTCTACCATTGTGGATGGCATACAGCCTTGAGAGTGGAGGACAAACACCAGTAAGAGCACTGAACTTGGACCCAAGACCAAAGTTCAAATCACACCCCCTACCATTCACTTAATTATGAGGTGGCCAAGGGGTGTAGTGGATACTGTGTTGGACCTGGAATCCAGAAAGACCTGAGTTCAAACTCTGCCTCAGACACTTGAGAGCAGCATGACAAATCACTCAACCTCTCGGCCTCAATTTCTCCATCAGTAAAATGGAGAAAATAATGGCACATTCCACATGAATCAAATGAGAGAACACATTTATAGTGTTTTGCAAAGAGCAAAAACTAGCACTTGTTAATCGTCCATGGGACCATGGGCAAGTTACTGAACCATCCTAAATGACCTCTACGTCATTTAGATCTGCCCTCTTGGAGCTTTAGGTCTATGATCCTATTTTCCTGAGCAGGCATGTTAGAAGCAGTACTAGCCAAAGCACTTCAAATCCTTATGCGTTCTTAACAAAGCAGTTTCCTTACTCCTGTTCCTTTCCCAACCATTCATCAGGGCTGTATGTGCTACTGGCTCCCTCTGGTGTCTGACATAAATAGTGCAGCCACCACAGACGTGCTTTTTGCTATCACAGATTAAACTCCAGCTTCTTCCCAGGAGTAGACCCCACTTTTGACTATAAGGAAGATTTAGTGGAGAGAGCAGACCCCTCCTCTCCCTTGCCTAAAGCACTGTCAGTATCACTCAGGACTGAGAATACTGGGGTCTCTAATTCTTTTAAAGCTTAAACAAATTGTGGATTCATTCATTGCTTTATTCCTTTAACAAGCAGTTATTAAGCTTCAACCATGTGCAACTAGATATACAACGACAAAAAAAAAAAGAGATAGTCCTGTCTTCAAAGAGCTAACATTCTTAGATAATTTAAGGGACCTGAAGCCCTAACAACCAGGGGGGATTAAGAAAGGTCTTGAACAAGAGGCAGAACCTGGGCTGGGTCTTCAAGGATTTCCAATAGAAATAGTTAAGGTGAAAAAGAGTTCTGTTCAACTGTGCAAAGAAAGGAATAAAAGCTGGGCATGGAATGTCGTATGTTGGCGACACAAAGTAGGCCCGTCTGAGATGGAGAATGCATGATGGGGAGTCTTTCTACACTTTAATCTCCTGTAACTTCCTCAGATGACCTGTTGGTGGCCAGGCGGTAAGGGTGACTCCTGCCCACCTGCCCCCAGAACCTTCTCTAAGCTTTGCATTGTGGTGGATACACAACAGAGAACTTACCATCAGGAAGACCTAGGTTTGAATCCTGCCTTGGATACTTATGAGCTGTGTGACCACAGACAGGTCATTTCACTCCTCATATTCTTCATCTTTGAAAAGAGTAAAAGAATACCTGAAGTCCCTTCTCTTACAGGACTGTTGTTATGGCTCAAATGAGATCATGTATATAAAGGCCTCTGCAAACCTTAGTGCTCTATCTCAGTCAACAGCCAGTCAACAAGCATTTATTAAGTACCTACTGTGTGCTAGGCATTATGCTAAGCTCTAGGCATACAAAGAAAGGCAAAAACTGACCCCAAGGAGTGCAGTCTAATAGGAAATACAACATGCAAGCAACTATGATGAAGTTCCTGGGAGCATGATGGAGAAATCCAAAGGAGTGCAGCCAAGTGGAATTCCCATCTGGGTGGGAATCAGAGAATGGCTGGTCCACTAGGCCTAAAATCTACACCCCTTTTGATAATGTAGCTGGTTTGACCCAGGTCTTGATGCAGAAAATAAAATAAGGTACTCATGGGTCAGCATTTGGCTCTTAGCATGGTTGCAGGTATAGGGGCCCTTTCTGTACATTACAGAGAGGATCAACCACAGGTGGACACTTTGGGCTGTAGGTTCTACCCTGGCTACACCTACACCATTCACACATCTTCTTGGAAGAGGGAGCCAAAGTATTTCCTACATTTTTTTTTTACCAGACTTGTGATTTCATTGGTGTGAGTTTCTTCAACCAATGTAAATCAGTGCCTGCTCTGCAACTTATAGTCTTAGAGAGTTAACTAGGGCACTGAGAAGGTCAATGATTTGCTCAGGGTCACATAGCCAGCATGTATCAGAGGTGGAACTTGAACTGAGGTCTTGTTGGCTCTAAGGGCAGTGCTCTATGCAATATGCTACTCTGCTTCTTTTTACCAGGAGCAATGGGTCACAAAGGGGTTGAATGAAATGACCCCAGAACTATAGGAAAAATGATGCTCCTTGTTAATAACCGTATCACCGGGACCCACTTTGGATCCATGAAATAGCCCGTTTGTATCCATTATTTTGTGTATTTCTTCTTGCTCTTTAGGTTGGACCCAGAAGGACAGAAGCTCCCAACTTATCTTCTCCCAAAAAGCCGTCTGAGATCATCATTATTCACCAGACATACTTCTGAAAAACTCTTTTTCTAGGCACAAACAGATGACTGTTCCATTCTGCCTTCTACACTGAACATTAGTGGTCAAAATCATGTTCTATATTCCTATTCTGTTTTCTCCCCATCATTCACATGAGATAGAAGTTTCTTATACAGCTTGTGTACTGCCAGATGATATTAAAATCAAACTTTAAACACCAGTGAAGAGTTTGAGTTCAGGACTCAGAGTGACCTTTGCGCAACCACAGACTTAGCTTATGTGATTCAGTTTGTGCATCTATTAAATAGGTATCCATCAACATACCTCTAATGGAAATCATGGACAGATGGGGCCATCTTTGATTGTGGCTCATTAGTGCCAAGATCAGTCATTACAATTTATTTTATTTCTTTTTAAAAAAGTTTTATTGATGCCCTACAGGTTCATTTTATTGTTTACTTTGCCCCAGTCATTTTGTCTATGGTTACCCTGGCTCTGCTTGCTTCACCATGCATCGCTTTATACAAGTCTTCCCATTCCATGTTTCCCTCTATTCCTTATGGTCATCATTTCTTACATCAAGATAATAGTCCACTATATTTATATACCATGATTTGTTCAATCATTTCCTAGTCAAGCAATTATTATGTACCTACTACGTGTCAGGCATTGTGCTAGGCAGTGGGCCTGCAAAGACAAAAAACAATAATAAAACAATCCTTGCTCTCAAGGAGCTGATACGCTACTATGGGAGACAGAAATATAAGTCAGCTGGGAAGAGATGGCCGTCACAGCTGGTGGGGGCATTGTGGTTAGGAAAGACATTCACTTTGCCTGGTTCTTTGCTACTACAAAAAAAGACCGCTATGAGTATTTTACTTTCTTTGGGCTGTTCTTTCTGTGTTTGACCTCCTTGGAGGCACGTGTCCAGCAGTGGGCTTTCTGGCCCAAAGAGTAAGAACAGTTTTATGACTTTTCTCACACAATTTCAAGTTATTTTCCAGAATGGTTGTGTTGTCCAGTTAACAACTCCAACAGCATGAGAACAGTATGTCATTTTTGAACGACAATCTTAGCTGCACAATTATGGTCATTGAAAGTGACAAGGAAGGAAGCAGAAAACTGGGAAAGAATTTTTACAACCAGTGTCTCTGATAAAGGCCTCATTTCTAAAATATATAGAGAACTAAGTCAAATTTATAAGAATACAAGTCATTCCCCAACTAACAAATGGTCAAAGGATATGAATAGGCAGTTTTCAGATGAAGAAATTAAAGCTATCTATAGTCATATGAAAAAACACTCTAAATCACTATTGATTAGACAAATGCAAATCAAAACAACTCTGAGGTACCACATCACACCTATCAGATTGACTAACATGACAAAACAGGACAACGATAAATGTTGGAGAAGATGTGGGAAAATTGGCACACTAATACATTCCTGGTGGAGTTGTGAACTGATCCAACCATTTTGGAGAGCAATGTGGAACTATGCCCAAAGGGATATAAAATTGTGCGTATCCCAAAAAATATCCATTTTTCCCCCTGAAGGATTATACTCAGTTTTTGCTGGGTAGGTGATTCTTGGTTGTAATCCTATCTCCTTTGCCCTCTAGAATATCATATTCCAAGCTCTCCGGTTCCTTAATGTAGAAGCTGCTAAATCTTGTGTTATCCTGATTGTGTTTCTACAATACTTGAATTTTTTCTTTTTGGCTGCCTGCTTTTCTCCTTGACTTGGGAACTCTGGAGTTTGGCTATAATATTCCTGGGAGTTTTCCTTTTGGGATCTCTTTCAGGAGGTAATTGGTGGATTCTTTCAATTTCTATTTTACCCTCTGGTTCCAGAATATCAGGGCAGTTTTCTTTGACAATTTCTTGAAAAATGATGTCTGGGCTCTTTTTTTGATCTTGGTTTTCAAGTAGTCCAATAATTTTTAAATTACCTCTCCTGGATCTATTTTCCAAGTCAATTGTTTTTCCAATGAGATATTTCATATTGCCTTCTATTTTTTTATTCTTTTGATTTTGTTTTATAATTTCTTGATTTCTCATAGGGTTATTAGCTTCCATTTGCTCCATTCTAATTTTTAAGGAATTATTTTCTTCAGTGAGTTTTTGGACCTTCTTTTCCATTTGGCCAATTCTGCTTTGAAGGTGTTCTTCTCTTCACTGGTTTTTTGGACCTCATTTGCCATTTGGGTTAGTCTATTTTTTAAGATGTTATTTTCTTCAGTATTTTTTTTTTGTTCTTCTTTAGCAAGCTGTTGACTTGTTTTTCATGATTTTCTTGCATCACTCTCATTTCTCTTCCCAGTTTTTCCTCTCCTTCTCTTACTTGCTTCTCAAAATCCTTTTTGAGCTCTTCTATGGCCTGAGACTAATTTACATTTTTCTTAGAGGCTTTGGATGTAGGAGCTTTTACTTTGATGTCTTCTTCTCGTGTTATGTTTTGATCTTCCTTGTCAAAGTATGTTTCTCTAGTCTGAAGTGTTTTTTGTTTGTTTGTTTGTTTGTTTTTGGCTGTTTGTTCATTTCCCCAGCCAATTATTTGACTTTTTAACTCTTCATTAAGGTAGGGTTCTGCTTCCAGGGTAGAAAGCAAGCTGTCCCAAGTTTCAGGGGTCTTGTGCAGCTGTTTTCAGAGATACTTCTAGGGACCTGTAAGTTTTCAGTTCTTCCAAGGTGGTATGATCTAAGGAAAAGTATTTACTCCTCTCCTGGCCTGTGCTCTGATCTGTAAGTGACCACAAGCACCCTTTTCTGCCCTAGAAATGTGAGAAGGGTTAACTCTCCACTGCTGCCACAAGCTCTGCTATGCTAGTGCTCCTCCTCACCCCAGGACTGCGACCCAGATCTAAGTATGGGCAAAGCAATAGAATCCTGCCGCAGTGCCAGCAAACAGACCCCTGTAATCTCGTTCTGATCAGTTGTTTGATCCCCTTACCTCTGTGAGTTGAGAGCTCTGAAAGCAGCCACAGCTGCTGCTATCGCTGCCCTGAGGCTGTGCTGGGACCAGGGCTGGAATGGCCCCCTCTCTCACTCAGGTCTGACAGACCTTTCCCACTGACCTTCTAAGTTGTCTTTGGAGTTTGTGGGTTGAGAAGTCTGGAAACCGCCACAGCTACCTGCAATTCAGTCCCCTGAGGCCTGCTCTGGGTTCGCTGGAGGCACTCTCGCTGTACTGTGTACCTCTCCCAGCCCGATGCAACAGATCTTTCCTGTCAGCCTTCCAGGTTGTCTTGGGCTAGAAATTTGTTTCACTCTGTCTTTTTTGTGGATTCTGCTGCTCTAGAGTATGTTTAGAGTAATTTTTACAGGTATTTGGAGGGGTTTGGGGGAGAGCTCAAGCGAGTCCCTGTTTTTACTTTGCCATGTTCCACTGTAATGGTCTTGTGTGACCTCAAGTCACATAAATCTGTCAACGCTGTTCAAAGTAGTCTCCTCAGGGGTGTTCCTCAGAGTCTTCCTTAATGCCACCCACAAAGATGTTTTTCATGGTTAAATAAAGATCTGGTCTTTGAGACACCTTTCTGAAGACAGCCATTGTTGGTCCAACAGCTCTGCCATCAGCCTCTTGAGGGTTTGTATTCATGACCTATCTTCTCCACTGGAATACAGGTGACAAAACCAAAGCTCCTGATACTCTTGGTATTTGAAAAGCTGGATACCACACTGACTGCAAGCATCTCTCATAGCTCCAAATGGATCCTTAGACTTTTATACATCATCTTTCTACCCATGAACTAGTAATCTTGCTCCCCATTCCTTGTAGGTGATCCACAGTCTCACATTCCACGTTTGTTGGCAAGACCCTCTAAAGTATATATGGGAGGAAGGGATGAGGGCAAGAGATGAAGCACAGGAAAAGACTGGTAGGATGGAAGTACATGGGCAAACCTCAGGGAGCTTTGCTCTGAGGCATGATCAGGGGAAAAGGAACTCCACACATGAGTAGGGTTATGATCCTATGTGAGAAGGGTCATAAATGCAGAGTAGGAAGGGACCTCAGAAGTTACTTAGTCTAATCCTTTATTTTACAGATGAGGAAACTGAGGTACAAGGAAGTTAAGTAATTTGCCCAAGGTCATAGAGATAGTAAACATCAAGGCAGGATTTGAATTCACGTTCTTTGATTACAGAGTCAGTACTCTTGCTGCTTGCAATATTTTTCCTTGACCTGAGAGCCCTGGATTTTGGCTATAAAATCCTGGGGGTTTTCATTTTGGGATTTCTTTCAGAAAATGAATGGTGGATTCTTTCGAATTCTCCTTTGTCCTCTGATTCCAAGAGATCTGGGCAGTTTTCTTTCATGATTTAGTGAAACATGATGTCTAGGCTTTTTTTTTTTTTTTTATTCTTATAGATAGTTCAATGATTCTTACATTATCTTTCCTTGATCTATTTTCCAGGTCAATTTTTCCTTTGAAATATTTCACATTTTCTTCTATTTTTCAGTCTTCTGACTATTTTTCTTCATATCTCATGGAGTCATTAGTTTCCATTTGGCCAATTCTAATTTTCAAGGAATTTTCTTTAGTATGGTTTTCTCCTCTACCTTCTTCTCCTTCTCCAAGTTGTTAATTCCCTTTTCCTATCTTTCCTACATAACTCTTGTTTATTTTTCCATTTTTTCCCTCTACTGCTCTTATTTGGTTTTTAAATCTCTTTTTCCTCTTTAACTCTTTTAGGAATTCTTGTTTGACTTGTATCTGGTCTGAATTTTTCTTTGAGGCTTTGCTTGTAGATGTTTTTGAGTTATAGTATTCTTCTTTGTGCTTTCCAATTCCCTGTCACCATAGTAGCTCTTTATGGTCATTTTCTTTTTTTGCATTTGCTCATTCTTCTAGCCTCCTTCTTGACTTTGGACTTTATGTTAGTGCCATGCTCTGGATACTTTTTTAATGTGTGGGACTTGATGTATTAACATAATGAATAGAACTAGACCTGTGATTTTATTGGAATGGGAAACTCCCAGATAAACTTATTCTACAAATGCAGGTTAGCACCTCCTCTGAAACTTAGTCTTAGAAACTTTTTTAGAGCACTGAGAGATTAAGTTATTTGCTCTGGATCACTCAGCAAATATTTGTCAGAGATGGGATGTGAACCCAGGTCTTCCTGGCCCTAAGGCCACTACACCATT